AGCACCTTCAACAAATAAACTTGCTTTAATTTTAGATGGTGGCTTCTCTGTTGATACGGTGGTTTACTCATCCTTCCCATGACAACAGAAGTGTAATTTTACTGGTGTACTTAAACGCAACACAACAGACCAGTTTATGGCGTATAAAATTCAGCTTACGACACAATAAGCTGTAAAGTTACCACTTATGTTAGCAGTTGTTTTATCATTTCCAAAGCAATCCTCAATTTGTTTCTGTGTTAAAAGCCCGTAATTTGAGTTTAATCGAAGTGTTTTTAAAGTTCTGCTTTGCCCTTTCAAAGCCTATTGGACGATATCGACGTGCGCCGTCACCGAGCTGCTTTTCCTGACAACGTGGCAGTTTTTCCTGACATTTTGGAGACACTCACTTTCCATTTGACAGCTACAATATATAACTTAATGTCCCGTTGAAGGCGCACAGAAACACACGTACATAAACAGATATGTGAAAAGGGGGCTCATCTGGAAAAGACAAATCACCACGCTGCAGCAGATAGACATGCTGACAGAGCATAAAATCACGTTCTGTGTCTCGTGCTCTTTAGCGGCACACAAAGACGAATCATTTACTCGCGTTCGACATCGATCACCTCCCGCGTGCAAATGACCTCATTCTGCTACATGTGATTGGATGTTGCACATCAAATTCTGCCCGCTCTCGCCCAGCATCAACCAAAAAACACCGGCCTGGATGACTTGGCAGCTCAAGGTGAATCACATTCAGCCTGGGCTGTTTTGAATGCTAACGAACGAACAGGCAGAAATATGTCGAGCTTTCTGAGCAGAATTCATAAACAAACAAAGTAAATGTATGAGCGAACGCGCTCGCCTCCGAGTGCACGTTCTGAAAAAGACCCTCGGTGATGGAACCGACGAGAAATGGGGGGTGATTGAAAAGAGGGAGATAGGGAGTCTGGAAGAGGAGAGCGGACATGTTCGGAATGCTGAGGCTCTTCTGAAAGCACCGTGTCACGGCTAATACACACTGTGTGGAATTAGGCTTATATTTCAAAGAGTCCTGCAGCTCCCTTTGGTTATTTGAGAGGTCCTCACGTGCCGAGGCAATCAATTACCAGGCATTGACATTCAATGAGCAAAACACGAGTGCTGGCCACCTGTGACTGTGTGGGCAACATAAACGCTCACATGGAGGCTCTCACTTCTACAGGCAGACAGAAAAAAACATCTGAAAAAAGTTAATAGATATGGAGTTTTACTGTGAAACTTAACGTCTCTTCAATGCGCGCTGCCTATCAAAACAGCACCTACAACATCAAGACAGTCAGAGCTCCATTTCTGACTAAACAGAGCTAAAAGTTCCCTCCAAGGTAGACTGCTAAAAAAGTAATCATCATGAAGTTAAATAAATAAATTAATAAATAAAGCGCCCTCCTCCGCCCTCAACCCCTAAACGCTCGACAATAAAACTTTTTGCCCTCAGGTGACGTGTGCGAGACTCCGACGCGGTGACAACAGGCACGCCAGACGCCTTCTTCAAGCCCTTTTGTAATCTGCCCTGCATCAGAGATCATAAGCCTTCGCTGACGTGTGTCTTTAAACGCGTCTTTTTCGCTTTTGCTTCACCCAGAAATAATAATATTAGGCTGTTGTTGGGCACACGCAGCCTGGCGGCGTGAATACATTTCTGCCAGCTCATGGTGGAGCGAACCGCAGAGGGGGAAAGAGGTGGGGGGGCGCGGCAGGGGTGTGCTTGAAAGACCAAGTGTGTGTGTGTTTGATGGGTCACAAGTGGGAAAAGGGGAAGAGAGAAAGATGGATGACTAAGTGTGACAAGAGAATGGGAGTTGCACTGGGGGGGAAGTGTTGCTTTCAGTGTGTGTGTGTGTGTGTGAAAGTCAGAGACATGTTTCTGTACTCATGCATGCAGGTCCACAGGTTCCCCAGTGTTTCACTCCACCTGTGTCTCACACACACCCCCACAAACACGTGTGCGTCTCCTTAGGCCGTCACACAGCGCAGACATGTCGGGTACTGTGAAGACCGAGCTCAGCCGTTCGCTCCTGAACATCTCGCACGTATGTCGCTTTCCTGCTGCATGCGTGCGTGTTTGCCTTCGTCCGCCCACGTGTGTTACACGCAAACGCTCACCTGTCTGGGGATCGACGGAGAAGTACTGCTGGCCCTGCACCAGTGTGTACACGAGCTTGGCGCTGTTCCCGTACGTCGGGTCATCAGCATCTGTCGCCGTCACCTGGATTATAGACGTGCCTGCGGGGAGGGCAGACGAGGAAGGAAGGACAAAGGGGAAATAAAGAAAAGGAGGGAAAAAAGAAGAAGAGAAAGGAAATAAGCAACAAAACAAGCCAGAGCTGGAGCTAAGTAGACAGACTACAGCGGTACTTTAAGAGCATAAGAAAGCATTATATCAAGACAACCTCCACTCTTCTCTCCCACTCCTTCTTTTTCAATCTCTCTCCGTCAGCAGCGTGACAAATAGTTTATCCTTCCCCCCCACCCACACACACACACACACTCTCCTTCATCTCTCTTGTCGCTCACCTTCCTCCCCCCCCCCCCCCCAGATTCCCTCTGTCTCACTTCATTTCTCTTCATCTCTGTCTCCAATTCCCGTTTGCTTTCTCTCTCAATCGGACTGTCTGTCCCTTCAACAGGCCTCTCTCCCTCTCTCACCCTCTCCTAAATCTTCTTTCTACGGCTGTTGCTGAGTCAATTTACCAGGAAATTTTTTTGGGGGTATATTTTCGACAAAAATGAAACTATATGAATATATGAAGCGTAAACGCTTTTCATATATCATGTATTTATACGGTGCATGTCTGTATTTATACATAAGTGTATGGGGAGTGACTTCTTCCAACGGTACTCAGAGGCAGATGAGATGGAGGAGGAAGACGTGGATTTGAGGGAGCAGCTTCTATTCTATATTTGATCAAAGCCTTGAGAGAATCACTATGGAAGAAAAAAAAAACAAAAGCCAACCACCACCACCACCACCAACAGCAACAACAACAAACGTGCAGTCTAAAGTACGCGTGTGCTTGCGTAGGGAGAGCAGAAAGGGGGCATGAGATCAACCGGTTACTGATCCATTGTGGGTAGTTAAGAATCAGAGCGGTTATTGACAGAAAGCAGATGTAAAGCGTGTAAGCGCTGCACCGCAGAGAGCCAAAGACTGATGGGAGAGAGGTTTTGTTTGTTTCAAAGAAGACTTAGTGTGGATTCAGTTCGTCATGCAGTCGCACATTTAAAAACAAAAGATCATTTTAGTTTGTTACAACTAGGATCTCATTAGTTCTTTTCATCTATAGTAGAAAGTAACTAAGTACATGTACATTTGACATATTTTACTGATGTACTTCAACATTTTCCCCCCTTATGCTTTGTCATATTAGCAAAGCTCAAGCTTGGCTGGATGTGTCTTACTTTCTACTTGACTGAACTGGTTTCACAGCAAGATTTTACACAAAATAACATAACACGAGCTTCGACCACACTGCCACAGCATCTCGTGTTTATGGACTTTATAGTTTTGCTTTATTTTGAGTATTTCCTGGTGATTCTTAGTTTGTATTAATTACTTTCCTGGTTATAGTTCTGTTCATATTGCTAGTTTGTTCCATTTTCAGTTCCTGTTTTTTTAGAGTTTATTTTTCTTCCTCTTGTGTCAGTTAAGTTAATTCATGTTTGTTTTTCAGTTCCGTTATCATGTTTCACTTCCTTCTTTAGTTTGATAGTTATTTGTTCTTTGTGCCTTCTTTGAAGTTTCCCCTTGTCTCATTTTCCCTGACTTTGCGCACCATTAGCCATTTCTGGGTCCAAACTCCGCTTCAAAGTTAAACAAACACCGCGGCATCACTGAGAGTTACAAATTGTCTAAATCCTTTCATCTTTAATGAAATGATCAGTGTTGCTGCTTTACCAGGTGTAACAATTACGTTTAACATCCAGGCATCCATGAAAACAGGATTTATGAAATTTAACAGAGTTAGAAGTTAGCAGGAAGTTAGCTCGCTAGCTAGCATCTAAAGATGACACACCATGTTCTGACTGAGAGATTTCTGAAAAATGAAAACGTTCAGCTCTGCTATCACTTCCAAAATAAATGAAGACAGAAAACTAAACAGCAGCGATGTTTGTAGTGTTACTGAAATTGGGCTAGCTGGTATATAACGATGTGCTACGTGGTGGCGGGCTACAGAGCTATGGTTAGCATAATATAAACACAGTGAACAACTGAGATAATCCATCCACAATATGAGGTTAGTCATTAATATACTGCTGCATGGGCTGTGCTGTAGTTACATTGTAAGGTTTTAAAAACTGAGCTTTGAATTGAACAGTGGTAATAAAAACCAAGAGAGCCCAACAGTGATCATTGCCTTTTTTTCATGGGATGTGTTCAGATTAAATAGAACAAGATACGGAGCATTATAATATGTTAAAATCACAGCAGCCTTAATAAATGCAGAGTAGTTTGGACCCGGAAGCAGGGTTCATACGTTATCACTTAAAGACCAGATTCCCATTATTTTCTTTCTTTAGGATTATTTCTACAGACTAGCATTAAAGGTTTGCTTGAGTTCTGTCCCCCACCCACCAGAATTTGAGAACCACTGGGCTCAAGTGGAAGCTTCTGAAGGTAAATAAACAAACATGCTTTCAAAGGGCTTCAGACAAAGTTTCGAGTGCATTGATTCAAAAGATTCAAGACTGTTGTTGCCCTCCACAGGAGAGATCACAGCAAGAGCAAGGCATAGTGTGGGAGGTCAGTGATTATGCAAAGGTAGCCTGTAACCAGCTAAAGGTCTTTCTCACATTGGCTAATGTTCATATTCATGAGTTCAAGAGAGCACTGAAATCTGAATCTGTGCATAGCTTGGCTGCAGTGAGAAAGATTCTGCTCTCAAAAAGAGAAGCTGCTGCCTGTCTGTTGTTTTCCAAAGATCACGAGAACAAACCTGAAGGCTTTTGGAATAATGCAACAAATTTTGGTTTAAATAAGACACTTCATGTTTGGAGAAAGAAAGACACAATAATCCAGCATAAGAACCTTATCCCACCTGCAGTTACTGTCATCTGTATCAGTATGATGGTTTAGGTCTGTTTTTCTCCATTTGTGCCAGGACGGCTTCCCTTCAATAGGGGAAGCAATGAATTCTGAATTCCACCAGCGATTTCTTAAAGAAAATGTCAG